TTAATTCAAATTGTACGAATTGAAAACACAATATTCAGTTTATAGGTTATTATCTGTGTAATTTCGAAACACTGCATCTGTAACAAAATTAAATCTAACTCCAACCTGTTTTACATTTCCCATAAAGTCAATTTAGAAGTATCTTATTTTTTATGGGTCAACCGTCAATGTGAGTGGATAATTAGATATATTATCTAAGTTGGATAGCTAAAATTATCTTGTGCATTCATATCCTAATCAAGAAACACGGTAAAAAAAAATATGAAATTTAGAAAACGACTTGTCAGGTTTTGGTCATTCAAATAACAAATCTAATGGATGAATTAAAAATAATAATAATAATAATAATAATAATTAAAATCACTGATTCACTCGCACCTCTGGTTTGATCCAACCCTGACCTTGTGAGATATGTGAATCGCAGAGTATTGAAAAAAGAATAATGAACAAAAGATTATTATTTATATATTTATTTTTTTAAAAAAAAAAACTAGTGCATACTACACGAATATTATATTTTAGGAAACAATATTAAGATTGATCTTTAGAAATTATCATAACTATTATTTTGTTCACATGTATTTATGAAAAAATATGTATAAATCACATATTATTGAACGTGTTATTATACATAACATTTTGTTTAGATTGCTCGACCCATTGTCATGCCCGTGTATGGATATTGTCAAACACAGTGTAAAACAAGTTGGAGTAACAAAATTAAATAAACTCCAGCCTGTTTCACATTTTGTTTGACAATATTTCTTTAGTAGTAAGTTGTCTGACCGACGCGCTCGCCTAGGCGCCGCTTAGCCGTTGGGTTGATTTTTTTTCAGTCGATTTATGCAAATCAAAGGCGATTGTCTAGGTCGATTTTTAGATAAACTTGTCTTTTCCTTGCAAAGCTTAGCTTGTTAAACCGAATAACTCTTACTCACACATTGGCAGTTGATGTAGGACAGCGTACGAATGAGAAGGATAAACGAGTAAACAAGATACTCTCTCGTAAAACACGTAAAACTCAACAATGTCTTATTTCATTCAAAATCAATTATGCCAAAATAAACCACAGGGAGTCCATTTTATAAGGCCCCTAATAATAATAATAATAATAATAATAATAATAATAATAATAATAATAATAATAATCAAATTATCCGCCTCATTCTCCCCGGTTCGAAAGGATTTGGCCTCGAAGCCGCACTAAATGTGTCGACACCGGAGTTGTACCCATGGCAATCATTGTCCGTCGTTTTCCCCTATCGACCACAAAGGTTGAATGTTGCCTAACTATGTCATTGGTTGTTAGAACAACAACGGCCCCGTGAACGGGGGTAGACTTCTTAAGCAACCCAACAAAGTGCTCAACATAATATTTCTCGTTCACTCTCAGCCAGTCATTCCAATAAGTCGTGGCCCATGTAAGAGACAGTTCAACCCATACGAATCTCGAGGGCATCCATCTTAGACCAGGAAAAGAATCAGAACAAGGAAGTACATAAGGATCATAAACAAATTGTCTTTTCTCATTATCATTCCATGATGATATCGCCATAATGGATGCATCACGGGTAAGAAGTGGAGCTCCAGCCTCAAAATATGCAAAGAAAACGAGAGCAATGTCCATATCGTCATCCTCATGCTCTTCATTCTCTTTAATTTTTTGTACTCCGAATTGGGTTTCTTTATTTGATTCATCCGGCCCCGGAGGCTCCTCATCGTAAATCGACGGACATTAGTACAATGGCCCGTCAACTTGCTCATTGTAGAATTCGGGGATGTCAATGCGAAACGGACCCTCCCATTGACCATATTCGCGATCAAGTCCCCAATCGTGTCGGGCGATATTCGCCGGCGAAGGCAGCCTCCTCCTGTCTGCCTCTATCGTCGCGTTGATCGTCGCCGTCCTCCAAGCCGTTCAGAGGTGGCTGGGACCACTGCCGGGGTGCCCCGACATGGCTACGTCCCCCACAACCGCCTATGTCTTCCCCGCGAAAGCCACGGCCCACAGCCCCATCGCGGTTGGTTTGCAATTCTGAAACAACCACGTTGTTAAGCGTCAAATGCAAATTCTCGATCCCCGCCGAAAGGGAAACCAATCTGTGAAACGCACGTCCAACTCTCTAAATCGGTAGTCAATCTGTTGAAACCGATCATTGAAGGTTGCATCACGTTGTTTGTTTGCAGCATTGCGATCGTACTGACCGCTGATACCAACTGATGTAGGGAAAAGCGTACGAGTAGGACGATATTAATGAGATCGCAATCTCAAAAACACCAAAACATATCAATTCATATTTTTATTCAAAATCAACCATTTCATAACGAAGCAGAAGAGCCCTTTAAACAAGGCTTTTAACCCTGGACTTTTAACGCGTCCAATAAGACAAGATATCTTACTAAATATTAAAAATTTCTAACTTATTCTCTAAGACACTTATAATAATAATAATAATAATAATAATAATAATCTACACCATTCTCCCCCGGTTCGGAAGGCTTCTCCCTCGAAGCCAATGCGCACCCGTAGCCGGCGTGCGGTGTCGAACTCATGGTAGGAAACCCCAGTCGTTCTCCTCGGTCGAACACTAAGGTTGAATGTCGCACCTCCATGGTTACACTCCCTTGAAATTCATGGAAAGACATATATACAGTAATTTTGAAGTCACAATGGGGATAAAAAAATATCATTTGTTTGCAAGGCCGCAACAAATTCTCGTTGAAGAAAACCTCGGGCCTGCGCAACAGAAGAACTACCAATTCTTCCAACAGCTAAATTTTGATACCTGAAACATGATGGAATTCCACCGTCTCCGGTTCGGAAGGCTTCGCCCTTGAAACCGATCGTTGAAAGTTGCATCTGGTGTTTGTTTGCGACATTTTGTCGTCCCGGCGGCATCGCGATCGTACTGACTGCTGATACCAACTGATGTAGGAAAAAAAAAACGTACAAGTGAGACGATATTAGTGAGATCGCAATCTCAAAAACACCAACACATATCAATTTTCGTTTTTATTCAAATTCAATTTTCTCATAACAAAGCAGAAGAGCCATTTAAATAAGGCTTTTAACCATAGACCTTAACTTGTCCAACAAGACAAGATATCTTACTAAATATTAAAAATTTGTAACTTGTTCTCTAAGACACTTATAATAATAATAAAATAATAATAATAATCTACACCAGCAGTGCCAATGGATGCCCAGTTATTCATTCATGTATATAAGCTGGTTATGGGAATGTGAAGCTGTGGCTACAATGGTGGCCTTTTTAAACTGAAAATTGATGTGTGGTGTTCAATTAAATTTGAAATACATAAGGAAAATGCATATGTAACATGTATTTTATTCTTCCTAATTAATTTGGTTTTAATTCACTGAGGGAGCTAACATATTGAGAATTCCTACTGTAACATTTTCGATGAGTGAGGTCACGAGGTTGGTTTGAGTGGTCGTGAGTTGAAGGTGGATTAGAGGGAACTGTTATGAATTGGTTTCGAGATTAAGGGTTTCTTAATTAATTTTGGTATGAAAAATCTTTAAAAAAATCACTTAATTTAAGCCATGTTGAAATTAATAGATATAAGTGATAAAGCCACGTCATATGACACCTCACATTGTGGCATGACTTATGGTACTCTAATGGGTCTCATAGAATTTCTGATGTTTCTACTACCATTGTTTATAGTTGCATGACATCATTTATCAATATGATAGTTGTGTTAAACTTTGAAGTCATC